AACACTTTGTGGTTACTGTTGGCTTACTTCAATGTATACGCAATGAAAACCATGGCTTCTATGTTTCAATGAGAAACTGGTAATATGTAATAGCATTAGGCAGGTATAAGAAATACTTACGAAAACGTTTTTCCTTGCTTTGTATCTGCAATCTTCATGTCACCAATAGCGAAATTGTTCGCGAAGTATCTTAAGCGAACGACGCTGCACGGCACAGAATAACTTCACCCTTAGCTGAGATCTGGCTTATTGCAAACTCAGCATTAAGGTAGTTTACGGGATGTCCGAACTATTTATCCACAAAATGGAGCATGAAGAGAAAGTTCAAAGATATTTTCAAGGACACTGCTTTGCACAAGCAAAGTAGAACGAGAAAAGAAAAGAAACGAGCACAAATACTCCCTTCGCTACCACAGCTTCGCTTTAAGAGTTACTGGTTGGAAAAATAGCGTCGCCCGAATATGGAGGAGCATGAAGCTCGTTAAAAAATGCAGCTACGGAAGAAGGAACGATTTAGTCGGGCGGCATGTTCCTTTGAAAAATTACTCGTGCAAAATATATCTATACTTAAACAAGCGAATTCGCGTCAATAGAGATTCAGCATACATACAAAACCTCTTTCTAAAACTAGGATTTGGTGATAATCTGATAGGGTCCGCCCCGTTAACCTCAAGCTTGTCATGAACAGTAGGGATGTGAACTTTATTCTGTCCCCTGCTGTCTTTAAATTTAAAACAGGAAAATCTGCATTTCGGTAATGTTCAGTGGGGCAGTAAGAGCGACGTTATTTGATAAAGATGAATATAGGTACTAGATGTGTTACTTGATTTAATTTGATGCTGTTCTACGCATACTTTCCGCTGCAAAGAACACGCGGGTAAGATGTCGCGCACCCTTATTATGTAGAGGCATAGCCGGGAAGTGGCACGTACGGCCCGTTTCCTTCCCGAAACTTTTTTTTGTCATAGCATGGAGAGTGGTATGCACCATTTCAAGGGGGTTCTTTCCCCGCGATTGACTACGTAATTGCAAGACTGCCATCAACAGCATGGGATACTCTTGGCGTACGTCGAAAAACCCGTTCTTTCATTCATGCGCGGCTTTTACGCCCATACCACGGCCGACAAAATGCGGGTATGAGTAACGGGTGATTCACTATTTATAAGAGTAGTTTTCACGCGTTCTGCATCCTCTAAACTGTCAAAAGGAGCAGCTGGCGCGATACAAATGCGCCACCGTCACTCAAACAGCTTATAATAAAATAAAATAAAATAAAAAGGAGAAACTGAGATACCATATTGATAATATTTGGGGTTTTACTTTCCTAAACCACGCTGTGATTCTGAGAGATGCCCCTTTGGAGGGCTCCGAAACATTCGATCATCTGGAGTTGTTTCACGTAGTCTAGATTGAAGATAACAGACTTCAAAAAATATAACGCAATACCGCAGCTTATGTCGGAATCAAATCAGGGCGGGCGTCAGCAACGTTGCCAGTGAGGGAGAAATGTGGGACGACGAAGCTGCCCAGCCAAACGCTTGCCGCTGCGCTACTTAAATGACAAGCGTCTGGCGGTAACATGCCGCATGACCAGTGTTACGGTATTTCAGCGGGAAAGTATGACGTGAATGGCGTTTTACGAGATGTTTTTAACGTTGACATACGCCATGCGATCTGCGTTACAGTATTTTGGTGGGATCATTTCACTTAGCTAGTGTTACATGATTGTGATGGGAAAATCTAGCGTGAATAGTGGTATACATCATTTTACATTACGCGAATAGAGGTAAAGTGATTGACGTAGCAACATGCCGCATATTAAGTTTTAATTGATTGGGCATCTTGCGAGTAGAGTAGCAAGAATCATTCGGGAGAATTTTGCTCGACTATGGCGTTAGAATTGAACGGGAACATGACAAGTTACTTGTGTTGCATTTTTCGAAGTACACGTTCTCCTTTTCATTTGTTTTCCTTCTGACTATCGCTCTTTATTTCTCTCTTCATCTTTCCTTTCATCTTCTTCTCTCCTTCCGTACTCGCTCGGTTACCCATGAGAGCCATTGCTCGCTACCCCAGAGAAATGGGTGCAGGAGTATTGGGAGTGAAACAGAAAATGAACCAGTCGAAAAGAGCGCGTGCCTCTTCATGATAAATATACTTTCTAGTTGCACAACCCGATGCTTCGAAAGGCTTAACTAGCTCTACTGGTAAATGCAAAGGGGCGGAAAGAATGAAATAGTACAGATATTATTATTATTATTATTATTATTATTATTATTATTATTATTATTATTATTATTATTATTATTATTATTATTATTATTATTATTATTATTATTATTATTATTATTATTATTAATATTATTATTATTATTATTATTATTATTATTATTATTATTATTATTGCTTCTTTACGTAAATACACAAAGATGCAGGAAATAAGAAGGAATGCATAAGTGCTGGAATCGAACCCAGGCGGTCTGCATGGCATTCAATTATTCTACTTCATAGCTACGCCATCCTTTGAAGTTGCTTACGGAAAAGCCCAGATAAAGGCGTTCTATCGCGATGGCTTCAGTTGTGGATGCAGTGTTGGCTATCGGCCCGTGTAATTGAAATAAACAATTTATATCAACTCTTATGACTACCTTAGCTTCTGTTTAATGTTGCCCTGGTGATTAGGGGGAAAGCGTTACTTGTTATTGGCATATCAGCAAACGCTGGCTTGTGGTGAAGTATAGCATCTGTGCTGTAACATGAGAAAACCCATGCTATATACGAAGGGTACTACCCTGTGGACATCTGCACAGTCGAGTTGATGTGCTGGGTAAACCCACTATAACGCTCATGGCTAGGAAAAAGAATCGCAGAAGAGATTCATTCCTCCTTCCAACTTGGTCTTCCTTAAATAAGTACTTTCCTCCATGAGCCACACATTTCAGCAAATGCATCTCCCCCGCTCGGCACGCACGCACACACACACACACACACACACACGCACACACACACACACACACACACACACACACACACACACACAAACACACACACACGCACACAAACACGCACACACACACACATACACGCACACACACACACACACACACACAAAAAAACTCGCTATGTGATTTCCCGAGATGGAGGCATAACTCCTCACAATACACAATTAGGTCATTCCTACTGGCAGCACATAGTTCGAACCAATATAAAAAATGCGCTATATACCACTACTCGCTCAGTGCTTCACATGCCTTTACGACCAGATTGTGTGATACCGTTAAAAAAGTACATCTGTGTTCCCTCCTCCTGTGCAGTTACACTTCTTCTCACGAGGCTTATGCTGTCCCCTAGAACAGCGACCTATTATAGTACACTACACCGGCAGAGGGCCAGAAAAAGTAGATTTGCTGCAAAACCCCTCAAGTCTACGGTACGCCATAATGCTATGTGTGTGCGCATACCTTTGGGCATTAGAATTTAGGCAATGCAAGGCTAATAGTTTACTAGATGTATGCATGCATGTCCTGGTGGCTGCAGTTATTTTCTTATTTGGAAGCGAAATCGCGAGTTCCTCTCAGTACACCTAAGTTGTTCTCTAGCGGCCAGACCATGGATCTTGGCGGGGGCGTGTCTGAAGCACCGTTCGGGGAGCTGATTTTGTTGTAGGTATGAACGAACGACTTTTGCCAGGTAAGTTGCTCAGGATTCATACAGAGTTTTCAGAGCCAATACGTTGTCATGTGTCTTGCTGGCTCAGCCCCGCCATGGTGAGGTGCTCGGCTGCTGACCCGCAGGTCACTGGATCGAATATCGGCAGCGGTGGCTGCATTTCCAATGGAGGTGGAATTGTTGTAGGCCCGTGTGCTCAGATTTGGGTGTACGTTAAAGAACTTCAGGTGGTTGAAATTTCCGAACCCTTCCACAACGCCGTCTTTAATAATCATACGGCGGTTTTGGGACCTTAAACCTCACATATCAATCAATATCTTGCTAGCTCACACAATAATTTGCACTGAAAATTGCATTATTGCGTGGACACATTTAAGATCAGTGTCGCAGATGTACCTGTGTGAACGAACCACTCTACTTTTCATAAACGTATCAAGGACGCAAAAAACGCGTACGTTACCACTGAAGAGTGGATGACGGGCCCTTTTGGTGTCACCACTTAATAAATGCGCGGTTAGCCTTATAGCTGCACCGAATGTAATTGTCCCGTCAACTTGAAATTTCGCAACAGCATTCCACATTGATTGCGGTGTCTTTTTCTTGCCGTGAAAAATGCTGCCTTTGAAAAAAAGGAGAACGAGGTTACGTAGTCCTTATACCTTTAGTCCAGCCGCAAGCCTCTAAAAGTGGTCTTGCGACGTCACATTTGCCATGTCTGCCCAATAATGTGCGACACATGCCGTTCAACGCAGTGGAGGGCATCGTGGCAGAAACAAAATTTGCGCTGTGCTCAGGGTGTCAGCATCATGCTGTCAGAAAGTTTAATGATCCACTAATGAGACCTAAAATAGCGAATCGCAATTGCGCTGGAAATGTTATTTTTTTACGGATCGACAGGGAAGTGCTTACCATGAGTTGCGCTGCAGGCTTTCTACATCATGAGCTTGTGATCCAGCACTTCGCACCGGCAGTGGAACTATACATTCAAACATTTACTCTAATTTGTCGATAAATAAGGTGCTTCTTCGCAAAAATTGTGTGCCATTTTCATCATTTAAATAAAGGACCTTTCACGGTGACATATAATTGTATTCGCTACTTGTGCCTCTTTAGGAATTCTTGCAATTTTTTCGTTTCTACTTTAAGCGGCGTGCTTTGGAAGTGCTAAGGTTCGAATCACCTCGACGTGTTCACATATATATGTGCGAAAAAAGAAAAAAAAAGAGACAGTGGTTCTACAGGAAACACCATGGTCTCTTATTCCCTTTATATTACTTCTACCACTCTTCATTAACCTCCCTCTGTTTTTTTTTGTTCATTTCTCTGTAAACTTTATTACTGATCTCCGCTACAGTAAAGTTTGACAAAAGAGAGCATTTCTATGACTCATTTTATCAAAAAATATTTTCCACTGTTACAGTGATGACGCGAAATGCCTCAACCGAAATTAAACGCAATTTGTTTTGTTTGTTTGTTTGCTTCGCAGCTTTATTGTCCTCATCTTGGAAGGTTGTCGAGAGCTCTTCCTACGAGAAGAAGTCGCTGGGCTGCAGCCATAACGAGGTCAACCAGTTTCTTCACAAAGTTGAAGCCGCTTTGCGCATCAGCCAAGGCATACTCTCCCGCTACCTTGCTCAACAATTTTGACATAATCTCAGCGGCCTTTTGCTTCAGCTTCTTTCGGGCTTCCCCGGCTGCTTTCTTGATGTTATCCTTGGCTTCACTGTAGGCCCCTTTTACGGAATGCTTGATCTTCTTAGTGGCGTTTTTTACGGCTTCCATTGTTTTGTTCCAAAGAGCACGGATGAAGTATTCGTTGGCCTGAAAAGTAGCGAAAACTCAGAAAGTCCACCAGTACCACGAACTCTATTTGCTTATTCAATTTTAAATAAATATCACTATATGAAATGTGCAACAGAGTTTGATTCCACTCTTAGTTTTCACATATTAGTCGCAATAGTGACTACAACCATATGTCTTGAAATCTAGCACGCAGCAATTTTCATACAGGTGAGGTATGTCCATACTAAGACAGCCACAAAACAAAGTCTCTGTGCTTGCTGCATGAGCATATGAACATTGACCCATGTTAAATGAAAAAACTCATATATAAAGGAAGTGGTTAATTGAATAATCAGCGCACTCAATTGAAAAAAAGTCAATAAGCAGTTCTTAACAATCTACTGTAATCTTTTCATGCGCAAGGAAATTAGGCATTGTTACTTTTTTCACTACTACACCAAGGTCAAGCATTTCCTGATTTCTCAAGTCGCTACATCTATGTAAATCTAACTTGTTTGTGAAGAAAAACTGACATAGACTTTCGATCAAAAAGAGCTGGGCGTAAGTTGCTTTGTTCTAGACCTTTGCAAAGAAGGCACCACACAGCTAGTTTCAGGCAAAGAAAATGCAGGAGGTCTATACACCTCACGTCATCGGATCGCCTGCCGCTTCCCCAACCAGCAGTATCGCCAGGATGATACCTTCTCTGACTTCAAGATCAGATACCGGAGACTGCATACGTAATTGTAATTTCACGAACGTAGTAACGGAAGTGTAGAAGAATATGGCGACCATATCGAACGCATTGAAGCTGGCGGAATGGTTTTGAACTTAAGTGTTGTGGTTAGAAATTTGCTTTTCCAAAACTTATCAAGCCACGTTTCAAGCCAAAATATTTCGCGCCGTACAGTCACAACGATAGCTGGAAAAGCACTCTTTCAGAGACTCAGTACACCAAACATAATCAAGTTTTTGTGTAGTAAGCTGGCATTCACTATGCTTTTTATCGTCATTATTTGGAGAGGCGTGGTATCCGCTACACACTTGCAAGAAATATTGCAGTGGCTGACGAAGAGAAAGATGTATAACTGAAGTGGGTATCCGCCATAGCTAATAGGTGATGAAGAACAAGACTTTTTTAAGAATCTTGAGCATTGGACAAGCTACTTGCTGCACAATTCGCATTGTGTGATGCCTGGCTTTTCCTTTCCTAATCTAAACCGCTTTATCACTCATATTGACGCGATTCCTTTCCCGACATCAAGCCAGCCTTAGGCAACAGTACGTTTCAGCCAGCCTTAGGCAATTCTGCGACCCAGCATCAACCACCGGCGTGGCTCAGTGGTAGAATGCTGAGTTAACGCGTAGCGTACCCAGGTTAGAACCCCATTGTGTCTTTAACGTTTTCTTTTACTGAGTTTTTTTATTTTTTTGTAATATTTGTTATGGAGACCAGCGGCGGCAGCGGCGGACAACTACGACGGTGCACGTGACCCGTAATGTGATCTTGTAGGAACTTTCGCTGTAAAACGACATGGCAATTCTGATCAAACTTCAAATAACCAGCCACATTAACTAGGTGTTTATGATGTTCAACAGCTCTCTCGAAGGTGAAGTGAGGCCGCATTTCAGCGGAGGTCCAACGTTAGAGGCCCATGTATTTTGATTTATGTTCACGCTGAAGAACGCTAGTTAAGGATGTTGATAATGATGAAAACGTTATTCAAGATCAGAGAACACACAGGGGAACCTACACGAACCTATATACACGCCATCCGATTAGCTCCACGCACTTCCCGCCAAACCTGATTTAGCGACCCGTCCGCGGACACTCTGGACGACCAGGGGTTCGGTCGTTGTCGCAAATATTTGGATCCCTTCATTAGAGGGTTCCTTCTAGCAATGTTATTTAAAGACAAAATCTCAACCAATGCTAATAATAATTACCTTTTAAAACCCTATTTTGTAATTAGAAGTCGAAGCTGTCCTCTGTTGTCCTCAGAACGCATTTCATAAATCATGTCCGCTGATTTCACGCTGGCTTAAATTTCAAGCCATTGACTGCTAGCTGAGTGCTACACAAAAGTAGGAATAAGGCTTTCAATCTTTTGAAATGTTCTGAAATGTTCAATGGAGTTGTGCTGACTTTATTCATGCATAAGTGTACAAAATGTACGACGTTACCAACATGGTCAATATTAACTTCAGCCTAAGTGCAATCTGGCAGTGTCCCGTATCCTGGTTGAAAAACACTGTTTAAGTAGTACCTCACCAGTAAACCGATTGTTGGACTGCTTCAAAGTTTCATTCTCTTTTAATGCTTTTAGGCACGAGTTCCTGATCAGAGAAAGCTTATGTAGAAATTGGAACATGAGGCAACGTGTTGGCGGCACCATATTCACAGCAGTAGTGACGTCGTCTGCTTAATATCCCGGTAAAGATCGTTACAAATCAGAAGTATATATATATAATATATATACTTCTGCTTTGTAGTGATCTTTACTGGGATCCTGCCCACGGCAAGTTATCTTTTCACCCACTTTTCTTCATATTTTCCCTATACTTTCTTTGGCATTATTGTCTGTTATATCTCATTATTTTGAGAACACACAGAAAAGCGAGCCCTTAAGTATACACTTTCTTCCTTAATATATATATATATATATATATATATATATATATATATATATATATATATATATATATATATATATATATATATATATATATATATATATATATATATATATATTGTGATGAGTTCAATTTGTTAAAGTGCTAAGCAGTCGTCCCTGAAATTATTGACTTCTAAGAACAGAGATTGAGGTCCATTACGTCAAACTTCTGCACTTAAGAAGTTCGTCATCCATAAACAGGAAGGCATTTTGAATACACTTCTTGGGCCGACGCAGCATCATAAGTGTTTCCTACTTATAATGAACACATGCTGCTTGTTATACTTGTACGGTAAGATATAATTATGCAGGCTTCTCCTGAACAGAAATTTCGCCCTTTGGCAGTTTAGCGTTTTCTCTGATTTCATCATCTTACCTCAGAGTTCATATCTTCATCCTCAGCAAGTGTCTGTGCCACATCAAGAAGAACTTCACTGAGATGAATGGCCTCTTCAGCTGCACTGCTGAACACTGCAGGAGCAGTTGAGTCCTCCTCGACAAGCGTTTGGCCGTTCACTAAAAACAACCGGCACGTGAGCATCATTGTTCGAGCCCCATTTTTGTTGTAATCTAGAAGTACATCTCTTCAGTGTTTATATTTTCCAGTACAAAAATGCCAAGTGCCTTGCTCAGGGAGGAATTCGTGAACAGGCAATTGCTTGCAGAGAGCTCTGTGTCATAACTGGATTATGCAGATGACACACCACAATCACACATGGACATTGACGTAAAAGTCCCAGCTGGCAAAGTTTGAAATACTATTCAATGTTTTTAGTGGACATAACCTTAATATAGCGCTCATCAGTATTGTGAGAACAGAGGATTTTTTGATAGCTAAAGCACTTAATATTTCATCAGTATATTATAAAGTCAACACTACGCTGCTAAGATTTGTCGAAAGACACTTTCAAAATGAAAAAGCACACGCGTGCAATACAACTCATATGAACAATGAATACCGTGCAAACAGTTGAACCCTACGTAGTGCCACGTTTGCAGTTTTACGTAGAGCCCAAAAGTTTTGAATGGAGCGTGGGCAAGGGTAGTTATTGACGAAAATACAAATATTGTGTAAGTTGTATTTGAATTCAGTTCCTAAAAGCGATTGCATTGACATTCGCGTAGCATTTAAGGTTTTGTGATTGTCGGGGACTACAGTAAATTGTTTCTCGTACATACCGGAAAAAGCGAAGAGGGCCAAAACAAAAATTGCGGCGATTGTCTGCCTCATGGTCTGAAATAGAAGGGAAAGCATTATATTTTTAGACAATCATAACAGTTATTATTGATTACGCAGTATAACTCAAGTTAATTCTCGTGATTCTTCCGTTAACCTTCTCAAGGTGATTAACTCTAATGTTAGGAAGTAAATATTTACAAAAAAAGTTTTATTGCAAGGGGTTTCGTTAAGTTTTAAAAGTTGCTTTTATATATCTGCTGTTATTAGGGTCAGCATTCTATGATTGAACCGGTCTTCTCATTCATCAGGCTGATAATCCTGACACGTGCAATGCATGCGAATCCATGACTCACAATATTTACAAAAAGTTTTTTTTTATTTTGAGTAAACTTCATATGAGATTCACAAGATTTGCACGGAATAACTGTCATAGAACCTTTCATTTGCTAACAATGTCACATACGGCACCTTTATTTCACGTAAATTTTTAGAGATTCTCAAGGTTTGCACAGAATAACTGTCATAGAACCTTTCATTTGCTAACGATGTCACATACGGCACCCTTATGTCACGTAAATTTTTAGTTTTGAGTCAGCTCTCGCGCGCGTACCCCTCTCCATCCTTTTATTCTCGCCCCGCTTTATGTACGAGGCTTGAAGACAAATAGCCGCCAACAAGCATTACCAATCACGTTTGTTTGTTTGTTTACATTCGCTGCAGTTCGTCTCACTAGTGAGCCCTAAGGGCTTTCAGAAAATGGTGCCATTCATACCATGTCGATGACTGTTCGGAGCATTTACTACCGAAATCAATAGACCTAATAAGCTACTTCGCAACGAAATACTTTATTTCATAGAGGACAGTGTCACATAGTAAGTTATGGTCATTATTGCCCTCTTCTAACACCTTCACAAGCGTCCAGCATTCACATCACACAAGTTCTATTAGACTCTATTCGGTTCACTTTTTCGCGTCCCGTTAACTGGTGAACTTGCTGTAACCCTAATGTGAGCGCTGTAGAGTTAGTATGGCGACATTTTCTAAGATTTGACAGTCGCACCCCAAAATGCAACAAATCCTATAAAAATCATACTCTACACCAGTATCATACGCTCACTGCCGAAGTACACAGTGCCGTAATTGCGAGTCCACTTACCAAGTTTCAAGTAGCCACAGGTGAACTTCCAGAGATATTTCGAGCTCAACTCTGTGTATCACATGCTGCAAACATCGCTTTTATAGTTTCTAATCTAGGT